GCACCCATCACAGATGAAGGGTGAGCAAATTGTGGTACATATGTACAATGGCGTGTCTGGCCTTTCAGTCTTAGAAAGGAAGGAAATCCTGACACATGCTATGACATGCATGAACCTTGAAGACATTATGCTATGTGAATCTGGCCAAACTGCAGCTTCAGGTCAGGATGTCTGTGGGGGCTGGCCTGAGATTCTGCATTTCCAGTGAGCATTCAGGTGATGAATACACTGCTGGTCCTGGGCCCACACTTTGAGCAGCAAGGGTCCGATCAGTGCTGGAACTCTTTCTCCCTGCGACAAGGCCTCCACCTCCAGGAGGAGGTCTCTGGGAACTGGTGCCACCAGGACTCCTGAAGCTTCCAGGGACAGAAGCAAAACCCTTCTCAGAAGTCGGCAGACTCTCAAGACAGAGCTGTTGCCAGCAGGTCAGAAACCGGTGCCATCTCTAAAGGTGGAGGGCTGGGTGCTAGGAATAAAACTGATGGAGAGGGCAGGGCTCTGCAGTGGGATAACAGGGGAGGGACAAAGAAATTCCACCTGTCCCCAGTCTCTCCCATCCCCCCCCAACCCACCACCCTCTCACTCCATCTTGGCTTCTCAGCCTTGAGTCCCAGACACTGAGCAGGGTGGGAATCTGAGGTTTTAGGAAAATGCCACAGCCCCGGCCCAGCTCAGAGCTACCGCCAGCTCCCCTGCTGGGGGGTCTGGACTGACCCTCAGCAGGACACACTCCTCTTCAGAGCAAAGTGGCCTTGAGCCAGGTGGCAGAAGGGCCAGGTTCTGGTCCAGCCCTTTCCCTCCAGCACTTCCCATGCTGGGCTGAGGCAATATCCAACCCCCTGCACCCGAGCTGGACTACTTCTAAGGGCCTTGAGCAAAATACAGGGCCACCTGGTCCTTTCACCAGGACTCAGGTCATCGTTTCACCGGCAGGCTCCCCTGCGCCCACACCGTGGGGCACACTTGGCTGAGACCAGAAAAAAATCCAATTGCTTCCCTCAAACAGTGACAATGCCATCCGGGGCTCAGACAGGCTCTCCTGCAGTCCTGCCCAGCCTCCCCATTGTCGGTGAAGCCAGACTTTGAGACGAAAGCTGGCTGACTCAGATCCTAAGCAATTAGGAGCGCCAGGCCTCTCTAATTAACCAGCCAGCCCCTCTCCCTTCCCACCACAGCCCTCAGATAATGAGGGCGGCAGCCTGGGTGTGCAGGCCCAATTATGGAGGGGACAGCACCAAGGACTGGCATCACGGGTTCCACCTGCATGCTCATTAGCTGGTGGCTGCTGAACGCTGCCAGGGCTCTTGCTGGGGACGCCTCCGTGTGCCCAGGAGCACCTGAGGTTCTGTCCTCCCCCACCAGGCCCCGGCCCGGATGCTTCCTATGGCAGGGATCTCCACAGCCAGCCCAAGCCCACACCCCCCCCAGGGCCTTGGGCTGTAGCCCTCTCCAAAAGGTGAGTGGTGGAAGATGGAGATGGAGAGAAACAGGGAGGCAACCCAGAAGCTGGCAGCCCCAGACTGGAAGGCTTCTGACATTCTGTGTTCGAGCTCTCCCAGCCTCCCAGGGCTGCCTTCTTAACCCCATCTCCAACTGTAATTAATTACCCACGATGGTTTAACACCTCCTTTCCCGAGACAAGAATCTGTGTGTCTCCTTACACCATACCTCCCAATGCTTGACACCAGTGGGTGTACAATAAATATTTGTTGGATGAGTGAACAGATGATATCATCCTGCCCCTCCCAAACATCAGAGAGGCCCTCAGGGACTAGAGCTTTGCAGGGGCTATGTCTGGGCCTCCTTGATGCTCCAGGGACTCAGCTCCCAGATGATCACTACCTGGAAGAGGAGTGCCCAGAGTGTCAGTGCTTCTGTGATCATCTCCCTGGGGCCCTAGAGATCTGTCCACTTCCTGCTGAAATGCGGCTTGTCCCTCAGAAGACTCTTCCCTCTCACAAGTCCCCTATAGCTTAGCTTCCCAAAGATCTCAGCTCAGCCTCGTGTCTTTTGGTCCCCAGAATCTCATCCGTGGAGGCAGCTGGAGCACGCCCCATCCCTCCTTCATGGTCTCCCTGTTACTAAGTCAAATCTGCTGTTGCACCCTGCCTTCCTTCTTCTTCCTGCATATGCCTCCCTGCCCCAGGCTTGCCCACAGTTAGGCATCTGCCCAACTCATATCCCACCACGTGCCTTGGCCTGTGCTGCCTCCCCTCCCCTGATGCCCTTGACCTCACAGAAGCCTGCCCAGTCCTCAGGGGCCCGCTCCTTGAGGCAGCCCTCCTGGCTCCTCTCAGTCCTGGGAACCCAGTTCCAGCCAGTGCTTGTCACTCTAGAGAACAGTCTGCCCACTTTGACCATCAGGACCTGAGGGAAGTGACCATTCTGGACACCTCTCCTTTTGGATTCCCATAGCTCTGACTGAATAAGTGATTGAGTGCTAGGTTTAAATGAGTCATTTGCACACAAACTGAGGGGTTTCCCTGCCAGGTCAGAGCATCCAATGATGGAGTCTGAGAGGTTTCTGGAGGCTTTTACACAAATTACAGAAAATATGGGGCTAACTGTGGGAGCTCCAATTTTAAGAAAACAAGAATTCTAATAAGGAGAATGCGGGATACTAGGGACTGAATTGCATCCCCTCAAAATTCTTATGTTGAAGCCCTGACCCTCAATGCGACTATATTTAGAGAGACGGTCTTTAGGAGGTAATTAAGATTAAATGAGGTCATAAGGGTGAGGCCCTCATCTTTGAGTCCAGAAGCTCAAAGGATCCTCCACCTCACAGAGTCTCCTGACAGAGACCTCAGCCTGCTGCAAAGGAAGAGCCACTGTCAATGCAAACATCCCCTCGCACCAGCCCAGCACTCTAAAGTATCATGGGGGTGGGGGTGGTGAGAGCCTCAGGGAGAAGATCCCCCCCCCACATCCAGCTGAGGTCCTCCCCTGGGACTGCCACTGTTGCCTAGGAAATGGCTCCACAGAGCAGCTGCGTTAACCCTTCAGCAGCAGGGCCGCAGCCTGCCTCTGTGGTACAGGCCCTGAACTTTTCCTGGGGAAGCAGATAAGGTTCTGTCCCTCTTCATGACCCCACAAACCTGGACTTTTTACAGCAGTTGTGGGTTGAGAGACAGAAGGAGGAAACAGGTTGCTGGGTCCTGTTCTCCCAGGCAGAAGTCATAAAACATAGCCCTACTGTCCAAGTCCTGAGAGCAAGACATTCCTGGGTGCCCACGCTCACTGCCTACATTGGTTCCTAGGCCAGGATCTGTGGAAGGCTTAAGGAAGAGCCAGCATGCCCTGACAGCCAGGTCCCCTGTCTCCCCTTCACTGCTCTTGGACCAATTAATCCACATATCTCAGCCCAGTTCACCACACCTGACAAAGCAGGAAAAAACAATGACCACAGCTGAAATCCTGGCTTTCCCATTTATTAACTGGGTATATCAACACTTTTTCATCTTGCTTTTCTCATCTAGCTTTTGAATGCCACTGAAAATGCTCTTGTCAAGGTTGCCAATGGCCTGTGTCCCAAGTCCATGTTTCACTTCTTTTGACTTCTCCATCTTTTATAATCCTCTCAACACTTACCAACCAGCCCACCTCACCTTCCCATCCTCTGCTATTTCTTCTCAGAATTTATTGCTTCCTGAAATCACCTTGTTTATTTGATCATTACTTGTCTTGTTCCCTCAGTCAGTGTTATCTCAAGAGAGAAGGTTCCTTTACTGTCTTAACTATAATAACTCCAGACTTAAAACAGTGACTGGCACATGGAAGTTACTTGAGGTTGGATTCCAGTAAAACTAGGGTGAAAACAAAAAAGAGGAAGATGTGGTATCTTATGAATAGTGTCTCTAACTTAGAAAGGCAGCAAAGGGAAGTCCCATGATAATACCTGTACAACACCCACTCTAGGTTGGAGCAGGAATTAGGATCTAGAAGAATTTTTCCAGGGGGAAAAAAAAGAAGGCTCCATGTGGTAGAGTAAAATTGAGATATTGAATCATCTCGAAGATTGGAAGGTACATTATTCTTTAGACAATAAGAAAAAGAAAGGCAAGTAGAAACTCCAAGAAAAGCTAAAAGTTACATTTAAAAAAATCTTGAACTCAATATGAAACAATGTAATATGTGGCACAATTTAGCAGAAGAAAAAGAGAAAAGCACTGGGTGTGGTGACTCACGCCTATAATCCTAGCAATTTGGGTGGCCCAGGTGAGAGGATTGCCTGAGCCCTCTGGTTTGAGACCAGTCTGGGCAACTTGGCGAGACCTCATCTCTACAATATATCAAAAAATTAGCCGGGCCTGGTGGCACACATCTGTAGTTCCAGATACTTGGAAGACTGAGGTGGAAGGATTGCCTAAGCCCTGCAGGTCAAGGCTGTGGTGGCTGGGAATGTGCCAGTGCCCTCCAACCCTGGGTGATAGACTGAAACTCCAACTCAAAAAAAAAAAAGAAAAAGAGAAAATCAATTTTGCTGCAAAGATCATTCTCCTTTGAGTGACCAGGGATCAAGACAGCAGATCAGAATAGGCAGTATAATCCTTGCATACTACTTGGCCTTGAGGAAAATCATACGTATCTAGTAACTAATAACATATTGCGTGCCTATATGCCAGGAAGGTTTAAAGAGACTTGCATTTAGTAATATCTAATCCTCACAGCTCTCTGAGGTACATGCTATTGTTATCCCTATTTTATAGATGAGGAAGATGCGGCCTGAAATATTAAATAAGTTTTCTGAGGTCATATAGCTAATGGAAGAGCTAGGTTTATAACCAGGCCGTAAGACCCAGAGGTCCATGCCCTACAGGCCAGTTCATCTGATTTTCAAGCCCTGGTCATTCTGACCAAGAAGCAGAAGCTACCACATTCATGCACGCATACACACACACACACACACACACACACTCACTCACTCCTGGGAGCCAGAATGCAAAGTCAAAGAGCCCAGAGCTGGTCCAAACTGGGTAGCCAGAATGGCAGCGCCTTACCTTCCTGCAGTCTTTGCAGAACACTGATGAGCTGCCCAGGAAGCCCAACACCTCTCCACAGAGCAGACACTGGGACAGGCCATTTCCCATCACGTTCTGCCTCATGGTCTCCAGACGCTCCACCAATCGCCTGCAGCAGAAGACGCAGATTCAGAGGGAATGTTCCTCCTGTGTCCAACCCAAGCACTGCCTAGGCATGGCTGCCACAGGGCTCCAATACTCTACCACAGTACATGTGTTGTTTCTTCACACAGGGTACTGTTTCCTGCCCCACCCTTCCCTTGGCTAACTCCCAATCATTCATTCGCTCACCAACTATTAATTGAACACCTATGATGTACCAGACACTGGGAATATTGTAGCAACCAAGCCAGAGACAGACATGGTCCCTGCTTTTGTGGGACTGATGTTCAGTAAGGAAGAAAACCCATAAGCAAGGAAACCAGCAAACTGATTTCAGATCGGGAGCAGCACTATGACATGAAAATAGTGCAGGGAGGGCAGGCGAGAGAGATTGATGGGACACGGGCATGTTTGATGGGGACCAGCGAAGACTCTTGGAGAACATATGAACTCAAAGCATAAGAACAAGGCCAAACCATAAGAAGAGTCAGGAGAGCAGCCTGGGCAGTGGGAAGAGCAGGTGCCAAGCTTGGGCCTGGAAAAGGGTTTGGCACCGCAGCACAAAGGCAGGCCAGTGAGGCCACTGCCTCGCGAGCCAGAGAGTAAATGAGGTAAAATGAGGCTGGAGGGGCGAGCAAGGGCCAGATGACTTGGGGTTTGTAGGACACAAAATGGAGTTTGGACTTTTTCTTTTCTTTTTTTTTTTTGAGTTGGAGTCTCACTCTGTCACCCAGACTGGAGTGC